GTGTGTGTGTGTGTGTGTGTGTGTGTGTGTGTGTGTGTGTGTGTGTGTGTTGGGGGGGGTGTCATGTCACCGACCCCTCGCCTGGGCAGGTCGTAGTCAATGTCTTTTTGCTCAGCAAAAGAAATCACCTGGCACTGAACTTAGGACAAAGGTTCCCTTAAACCCACCAGCCTCTGGGTTGGGAGACGCAAGGCAAGCTGTGTCGGGGTCCGGACTGGGATGCTGTTAACCTGGGGAATCCGAGCAGGGAATCCAGCGGTACATCCGAGGGACGCTTGGCCCCCAATTCCCAGGGCTTTCCCCGGGCACCAGCCGGGGACCGGGCTGTGGTGCCACTCACCTCCGCCCACTCCTGCTGAGGCTGTCGCGCCTTCCTTCGCCCCGCGCCGGCGACCCCCTAACTTCTCCCCCTTCTCCAAACAGCCATCTTTCGCGGAGAAGAGAATGGCGAGGCAGAAGCAAAGGGGTGGGGGGTGGGGGGTTGAAAGTTGACTCGGGGACCGCCGGTGCTCCGCCAGCAGGGACTTACCAGCCGCGACAGGCGCCGGAGGAGGAGACCGCGGTGAGGGCGGCGGGCGCGGCGGGGCCGGCTCGGTGCGCGCTGAGCGGTGTGCGGGACGCGCCGCCGCCGCCGCGGCCACCGCGCGGTGGGGGAGCTCGGGAGGGCGGTGCGCGCGGCTGCGAGCTGCGAGCTGAGCCGGTGGCGGCGCGCGGAGGATTTACTAAAAATAGCAACTCTTGGGGAGGAGGGGGGGCGGAGGTGGGAGGGAGACGGAGAGGCCAGGCCGGGAGCCCCAGCGCGGCGGAGGCTGGGCGGGGCCGGTGGGAAGGGAGGCAGGGCGGGCGACGGGAGCGCGGGCCCAGGCGCTGTAGACCCGCAGGCCCGCGAGCGGCCGGCCGGGGGCAATGAGGAGTGCGGGGACACCTGGGCGCGCGGCCGAGGCGCGGGGAAGGGCGCGCGGGAGGCAGCAGGACCCAGAGAGCCGCCTAGGGTGGAGCGGAGGAGAGCTCGGGGCTGGACCGGCGATTACTCCCAGGGGAAGGACTGGGTGCCTGAGAGGACTTGGGTTTCTTTTCTTTTTTTTTTTTTTTATAAAAATTTTTTTTTAAGATTTTATTTATTTATTTGTCAGAGAGAGAGAGAGAGAGAGATCACAAGTAGGCCGAGAGGCAGGCAGAGGCAGAGGGAGAAGCAGGTTCCCTGCTGAGCAAGGAGCCCGATGCGGGACTCGATCCCGAGACGCTGGGATCATGACCTGAGCTGAAGGCAGCCGCTTAACCAACTGAGCCACCCAGGCGTCCCAGGACTTGGGTTTCTGAAGCGAATCACACCCACGCGAGGCGCAAGGTGATGGTCGGGCGATCCGCTCTCCTCCTGCGGGGCTCCTCGGCAGCCCGCGGCCGTGATCCAGGACGGCGTGAGAGGGAGCCGGGCGGCCACCGCGCCCGCCCTCGCTCGAGGAGCCCTGGCCGCTCAGGTGCGCGCCTCGCAGAGCACGGGGGTCCACAGCTTCGCCACTTCGTTTTGAGAGAAGGGCGCGTTGTGGGGCGGTACCTGGAGGGTCCCCACATACGCTTGCAGCTTAAGGAATCATTCAAGGGGATTTTAAAAGAAAACGCTACATTTAGGGGTTTTTAAGACCAAATGGGAAATGGGAGGAAATATGGTGATTGCTTGGAAACATGGTTTAGTTGGTCGCGTTTTAAGGCTGAACTGAGAGCACCATCTGCTGAGACCAACCCTGAAGGAAGGAGGCAGAATTAGTAGGTCCGAGAACTGATGAGGTGATTCTTTTCAGTGGTTAGTATTTTTACTTTGCAGACCTTTTTTTTCCTACTGCTATAACTTAGTCTATATTAGTATCACTTAGACCTATAGAATCCTTTATACAGAGTGGAACCCTGAAAGATGTTTTTAAAAATTGTAATCCTCTCTGCCTAATTGTGATCTCTGTCAAATAAATAAATAAATAAAATCTTTTAAAAATTGTAATCCTAAACAAACTTGTCTAATGCTAACATTTGATCATTCAAAGAGCCTAATATTATGGTGTATATAATGTGACAAATGAATTAAAGCTAGGTCTCTACATGTACATTTCTGTTTTCCACCACGTCAGCTAAAACACAACTGCTCATATCATCATACATCTTTACGGATGTAAAGAACAAGAGACAGTTAACCTAGTGCCCTCATTTTCAGTGAAGAGAACAGGGATCCAGAGAAGTGAAATGATTTGTCCAAGGTCTCACAGTTAGTGGCGGGGATCGACTTAAACTGTACTATTAAAACGGAACTATCAATGGAAAAAGACCAGGATAACTCAGAGAAAGCGGGATGGTGTCTAATCTAAAATAGTTCAGCATTTATAGTAAAATGAAGGCGTGTTGTGGTCAGATTTAAACCTTACTTTTCTCTAATCGGGAATTCACAGTACAGAGGTGGTCAGCGAGTTTTAATTAAAAATAATCACAATCCTAAAGCTGTTGGTGCTAGAGTTTAGTTTGCTTAACTTTCTGTCTACACTAGGGATTATGTTCATCCGGAGGATGAATCTTTTTTTTTTTCTTTTTCTTTGTTAATTATTTTTATTAACATATAATGTATTATTTGCCCCAGGGGTACAGGTCTGTGAATCGTCAGGCTTACACATTTCACAGCACTCACCATAGCATGTACCCTCCCCAATGTCCATAACCCAACCACCCTCTCTACACCCGCCCTCCCCCAGCAATTCTCAGTTTGTTTTGTGAGATTAAAAGTCTCTTATGGTCTGTCTCCCTCAAGATCCCATCTTGTTCCATTTTAGGAAGATGAATCTTGATAATGGGATCTCAGTAGTGAATTTGGTTGTGTTGAATGTTGACTAAAAAAATTTAGAGAGACTTCTCATTCACATGTGACCTAGGCCTAAGCAGGTATAAACTAGTGACCTTTAACCCTTTACCTTCCATAATAGAGTCCTTTCTGAAATTGCCACTTGTCTAGCCTTTTTTTTTCCTTGAATAATGATTGTGTTTGCCTACTACTGCCCAAAAGGAAACAATTTTTCCTCTCTTGTGTCTCAAGGAAACCTTCCATAGGAAGTGTTTGTTAAAACCCCCCAAAAAATGTCTTTTTGAACTCCAAAAAAAGACAAAGTGCTGGGATTTTACTAGATGTTTGTGTATAAAGATATGTACAGAAGAATTTGAACTGAAATTTGTTTTCTCCTTTTAGGGAGGTGGTACAGGGCATAGCTAATATTCATCTATCTCTATTTCCACCACATCTGGGTCATTTGACAATAGGGAGCTGAATTCCTCATCAATTCTCTTAGATACTCAAATGCCAATTTTAAGCAAGGCACTTGCTAGGTGCTACTGGAGGTACAAATATTTTAAGATAAGGTATAGTGGGAAAGATTAGAGTTTCTCTTAAAAGTCCTAATGGGGCTTCCAACAGTTTTCTGTTCAAACTGATACATTTATGACATAGTATTACAATTTCTTTCTGGTTTTATGCTGTCCTCAACTCTGAAGACAGAGATTACATAACCATACTTTTGTATTTTTTTAATAAACTACTTTTAGAACAGTTTTAGATTTACAGAGAAATTGAAGTTATACAGAGAGTTTCCACATATCCCCCACATACACACATAATTTCCCATTATTGACATCTTATATCAGTGTCATACATTTGTTAACAAATGGTGAGTTAATGTTGAGACATTATTATTAACTGTGGAGTCCATAGTTTTCACATTTCCTTAGTTTTTACCTAATGTCCTTTTTCTTTTAATATTTTATTTATTAGAGAGAGAGCACGCATGCAAACTGGGGGAAGGAGAGGGACAAGCAGACTCGTACTGAGCATGGACTGATATAGGGCTCGATTCCACAATCACAAGATCATGACCTGAGCTCAAACCAAGTGTTGGATGCTCAACCGACTGAGCCACCCAATGACCCCCAATAGCCTTTTTATATTTCAGGATCCCCCCTAGGGATCCCACATTGTATTTAGTGGTCATGATTCTGTAGGCTGCTCTCGGCTGTGACTTTCCTTATCTTTGATAACCATGACAGTTTTGAGGAGTGATCATTAGCTATACTGCAGGATGGCCCTCTACTGGAATTTGTCTGATGTTTTTCTCATGTTTAGACTTGGGTCATGGGTATTGAGAGGAAAATCATAGAAGTAAAATACCATTTTTAGCACATCATATCCAGGGTACATACTAACAATGTGATTTATCACTGCTGATGTTGACCTGGCTAAATTAACATTTGCCAGTTTGTAAATTTACTCTCTGTCTCTCCTTCCCATACTGTATTCATTGGAAAGAAGTCACTATGTGCAGTCCACACTTCAAAAATAATTTAATTAACTTTTAATATTGTATGTAAACTACACATGTATGTATGTACATCTGTTTTTATTATGCATTCATTTGCACTTTTTTTTCTCCAAGGATCAGCATAGTGCCCTCACCATAGTAGGCTCTTACTGCTTACCAAACTAGGTTTGAACAGGATTTTCTCTTCCAAGAAAACTGATGAAATTTGTGCATATTAGCAGAAAAAAAAAGTGTCTCATGCTAAAACCTCAAAACACCCCAGATGTTTGAAATTTTTTTATAGGGAGAGGTACTTTTTTATAGGGAGAGGAAATTTTTTTATAGGGAGAGAGCATAAATTTCATTATTGTCTGAAATATTTGTGTCACCCCCTTGGGACCAAAACAATAGGCAGCTTAGCCATATGACTGACTTTGGCCAATGAAATATCTGCAGAAGGTGATGTGCGCCACTTTCAAGCAGAATCTTAAAAGTGGTTCTTTCTGTGGTTCCTTCATTTTTCTTTGCTTTCAGCCACCAGTTTGCAATTTGGGGGCACCTGGCTGGCTCAGTCGGTTAAGCATCTGCCTTCGGCTCAGGTCATGATCTCAGAGTCCTGGGATCCAGCCCCACATCAGGCTCTCTGCTCAGCGGGAAGCCTGATTCTCCCTCTCCCTCTACTGTTCCCCCTCCTTGGGCTCTCTAGCTCTGTCAAATGAATAAATAAAAATCTTTAAAAACAAACAACAAATTAGCAATTTTGCAGAAATGAAGAAATGAAGACCACCTCCAAATGACAGAGGATATAAACACAAATAAGAAAGAAAACAGAGATTTGGTGATTTTTTTTTTGTTATCCAGTCTGATTGCAAATTTCCTTTTGGATTCCTAAAACTGGATTATTAAGTACTGTGCTTCATTCAGTTCTCATCAGTGATCTCCTTTGGGGTATAGCCTTTTAGGACCTATTTGTATTTAGTTATGGCTCAAGTGTATTTTAAAATGATTTTCTAGGGACTCCTGGATGGCTCAGTCAGTTGAGTCCCAACTGAGCTC